CAAATTGTGTTCCCTATACCTTTGAAACTTGTTGTAAGGTATACACTGAATTAATATAGTTGTTGAAGTCATGGTGTGCATGCTTGCATGCAGCAAGAACATGTGAACAAGGCATGTGAAATTTTTGGAATTTCCCACAGTCACACCATAACTCATCAAGGTGAACTACAAACTTCCCTGCTGGTCGAACTTCACACGGGTTTTGTGTTTCTTCTACTACAAATTTTGTGGTAGACCAGCTCAAAAGTTATGACCCTATGCGTGTTTGCTCGTGTTTGTGCTTCCTCTAAATTTGTGACCAAAATTTCAGAGTATACATGACCAGCATTGATCATGGCATCTATCTGCCTCCCTCTTTCAATGAAAAATTTGTTGCAGCGGGTGTACGTTGCGTTGACCATGGAGCAAATAGGTAGATTTCTTGTTTTTTTCAATATAGAGTTGATAGACTCTACTATGTTGGTTGTCATGTGGCCCCAACGTCGTCCATTGTCCCATGCAATTGCCCATTTTTCTCTAGGTATCTCATCCAACCAATTAGCTGCTTTTATGTCACATTTCCTCAAGATGTTGTAATAATAGTAGAATCGTGGTTCAGTCATCCCATACGCTACAACAATATTAAAAAAACATAGTTAATATAAATATTTATTAACAACAATTAAATAATGAATAAATTGTAACAAATTTGAAGCAAAGGAATTACCCATATTTACAACATCTTTCTTCAGTGCGGTATTTTTGAAACATCTCATAAAATTCTGTGCAATGTGTCTAATGCAGTAGACATACATTGAATTATTTTCTCGTCCATCCGTTTCCATTTCTCATGTATGCACTTCTAATGGATTCATGTCTGATCTCGATATGAGGCATAATCCTTGTCGGGGTGTGACATATCTTTAAAGGTTTTTTAAGAAAAAAACCAGGCATCACTTGTTTCACCTTCAACCACTCGCAAACGCAATGGGGAGGATGTTGTTGCGGCCATCTTGTGCTACCGCAACCAACAAGGTACCTCTATATTTTCCATACAAAAAAGTTTCGTCCACTTGAACAATGGGCTTGCAGTAAACAAATCCATCTATGCATGACCTAAATGACCAAAACACATGTTTAAAAATATTTGAATTTTGTTGAAGGACTTCACCTTGGTAAGCTGGTTGTGACTGCAGTTTGTAGATGAATCCGGGAACAAACTGTTGCATGGCTTGTAACAAACAAGGCAACTTCTTATACGAATCCTCCTAATTGTCGTAGATGATCTCCATTGCCTTTTGTTTGGCCAACCAGGCCTTCCTGTATGTTATAGTGTAACCCATTGTTAATTGGATGTGGGCTATGATTGTGGAGATTGGTGTTGACGAATCAGCATCAATTATTTGACCAATTGTTTGGGAAATCATTTTATATCCCAACTTGTTGTGGTCTTGGCTGATTAATGGCGAAACGCATGTATGGTGCCCTTCAAGCTTCATAATCTCCCAATATTGCTCTCTTGTGCGCAATATTGCTCGACATCTCCAATTGCATTGGTTATCAACACATTCAACAACATATCTACTTTGGTTTGAAATTTTCACCTTGTATGTGCAGTGATTGACAATGTGAAAGCGGTTGATGACATCTTGAACTTGTTCTTTTGTTATGAAACGTTGTCCAAGAAATAGAGTTCCTGTCGGAGAAACAAAAGACTCTCTGTCCAATGCATGACCATACTCGGGTCTTGTTGTTGAATGTGATTTTCAAAGTTAAGAAAATGTTGTGGTGGGTTGTATGGTTCCATGAAGTTTGGTGCATGTGTAGGGATATGTGGTTGTTCGTCCTCTGAATCATCTTGGTGTTGGCTGAGAATTTCATCTTCGTCTTCATCCTCACTAAAAGGATCAACGACTTCAATTGGGAGGCCAACAATTTTGTTCTCTTGTGTGGGTAGTTCTTCGTTGATGTTGGTGGAAGGCCCACTTAGAAGTTGGGTAAAAGGGATGTAGTCATTATGTGTGGGTACTTCTGGGTCAGTGTTTGGGAAAGCTTGGTAGGGTAAGGGTGAAATTTATGGTGAGTGTGTGTTGGGGTATGAAGAAGAAGAAGTTTTAAATGAAACAAAAATTTCAATACCACATAGACTTGAGTTTGAATCATGAACATCGAACATGGCCTCCACGTCGTCATCATCTTTCAACTCAACAGTAATGAAGTTGTTGATCCTAACTCCGAGTCTAGTTGGGCAGCGAAAATGGATGGTTGCTACATTTTCGTGGGGTTCTTTCTCCAATTTCTTGTGGATCAACTTCTTCAACCTTTGTAGAGAAATTCCTCTCTTTAAAGGAACAAGTTTTGCAGTCCCAGTATTGAAGGTAACTCCCTCCATGGGACATGGGTTCATGAAACCATCATAGTGGACAATAGTAGACACTACACCCATTTTAGGAGTGTGGAACACAAAGAAGACTAAAGGTAAGAAGAAGAAATAATGCAAATAGCTTCAGAGATTTAGGAGTGTGCAATGTGAGAACTTCAAAGAATGAAAGTGGTCTATTTATAATGAAGTCCATTGGTTTGAATCCAATGCTCTCTCACATGGTTTCTGACGCACACAAAACCCAAGCAAAGTGGGTGGGTCAACATCTCTTTAAATATGTTTGGATTCTTCTGCTTTTGTCTAACCCAATGCAGGGAATCCAAGATTGGAATCCTAACTTAGGTGGGTAACTCAGCATTGGATTCTTTACTTGTGTGCATCAGAAAGACATGGGAATCCTAACTTGGGTGGGTGACTCAGCATTGTAAATAGTTGCAGGTTTCCTCGCTCAAGCGATGGGTTTCTCGCTTGAGCGAGAATTGACAACAGGCTAAACGTCCAACGCAGTTAGCCACATAATGCAACTTGGGTCACCACATATTTCAATCATTTCTCGCTCAAGCAAAAGCACCCGTCGCTTGAGCGAGAATTGACCCGAGATTTTAGATAGTGGTTTTAAAACTAACCGCTATTAAAAATATATTTTAGATAGCGGTTAACGTGGAACCACTATTATATGTTCACTTTTAAGAGCGGTTAAAATATTAACCGCTCTTAAAAGTGACACATATATGATATTAAAAGTGACACATATATGATATTAAAAGTGACACATATATGATAGCGGTTCCACTTTAACTGCTCTTAAAAGTGACAAAACGTTAACCGTTTTTAACCGCTATTATAGAACATGTGGAACCGCTATTACATGTGTTTTCTGTTGTAGTGGGTTTCTTCGGTTGAGCGAGAGAGAAATAATCGATCATAATTTTGTATATTTGATTATTTTAAAATTATGATTGATTAGTTCAAATTATAATCGATTATAAATTTCTTCGCTCAAGCGATGGATGTCTTGCTTGAGCGAGAATTGACCACGGTCCATCGCAGTTACCCAATCAATTCTCGCTCGAGCGAAGTAACTCATCGCTTGAGCGAGAATTGACCACAGGCTAAACGTCCAACACAGTTAGCCACATAACGCAACTTGGGTCACCAGATATTTTAATCACTTCTCGCTCAAGCGAAAATACCCGTCGCTTGAGCGAGAATTAACCGGAGATTACCCCTTTGTTACATATTTCCTCGCTCAAGCGAGGGGTTTCTTCGCTTGAGCTAGAATTGACACGAGATTACTCCTTTGTTACAGATTTCCTCGCTCAAGCGAAGGGTTTCTTCGCTTGAGCGAGAGTTGATTAATCACTACAGATATGCCTTTCAACGTCGTTTATATAAGGCTTTCAACGTCGGTTATACAACCGACGTTGTATCAGGCGACGTTGAAAGTATACACTTTCAACGTCGGGTATAGATAACCGACGTTGAAAGTTTAGGGTTTCAACGTCGGCTATTCATACCCGACGTTGAAAGTGTATACTCGTTGCGCAAAATAATCGATCATAATATAAAATAATCGATTATTTTAATACGTGAACAGTAAAGAGTGCTAGTTGTGTAAATAATGTTTCGGATGTGCTATTTTAGGAAATATTTTTAAAAATAGTATTATTTATATAAAAAAGTCTCTTTTATTGATCGATTACGTTTTCTCATAAATAAAAGTCATTCTTTATTCCTAAACCGTTATATTTATTAATATTTTTTTTCCTGAAAATATAAAAGTTATTATACATGTACTTTGTTGAGTGAGTACATTAAAATCATATTGATTTAAAAGGAATTATATTTGAAAATTTAAATACGATTTTAAATTAAAATTTATAAAACAAAAAGTATCTTCGAAAATAATATATTTTCTAAAGATGAATTAAAATTAAAAAGAAATAGTCACCAATCAAACAGATACATACTAAACAAATATAATTACAAATATAAGTTATGATTCATTTAATCGTGTTTAGTCTGATTATATCTACGTTTGATGTTTAAATATAAGAAATTAGTTGTTGCTGAATTAGTAAGATATCGTAATTGTGATGATGTTAAATTATTAATATTTTATACAATATTTTTAAATTACCTTAAAATTTGTAAAATTTATTTTCACTTGAGTTAACATTTTTATTATAAAAGCAATCAAATCAACAATTATATATATATATATATATATATATATATATATATAAAGTCGTAAGAAGTATTCTAAGTTTCTCATTAATACATATTATTCATTTTTATCTGATTTTTCTACCATTTTATCTATTATATTTTGTTTTAGTAGTGATTTAGAGTAGAGGTGATTATTAAGTAATATTCTTGTTTATATATTATGAGAAGTCATAACCAATTTATTTCGGCAAATTTTCCACAAATATTTATAAAAAATAAAATTAGTTCTTTTATTAATATAAAAATAATAAAAATGGCGGTGGTATACGTCACTTCACTTGCAATTTATATTTCAACCAATTTCTATGCGATGAAACTGAAAGACAAAACCGATGACCCACTCTGTTTTGGCACTAGCGGATTGGTCTATAAGAATTGAGGTTCACGATGCCATATCTTATTGCGTGAAATGATGGAGAAACCACACTCATGCTTCATCGACGGTTTCACGCTCACTTTCTTACTTCTGAATTTGGCTTTGGGAAGAGTTGCCGGCGCTGATACCTATAGCAGAAACGATTTTCCCGTTGATTTTGTTTTCGGTTCAGGAACCTCTGCTTATCAGGTTACCATTTAATTTCTCGTAATTTCTTCAGCAGATTCATCATTTTCTATTCAATGACTACTTTTCTATCCAAAATCTGGAATAGAAATATTATACTGTAATTTGTTTTCGCAAACTGTAAGGTTTGTTGGTAGAATCGAAAATAGTTTATTCTAATTTCTTTTTAACTGATAGATTTTGCTGATCAAGTTTTCAGATTATGAATTTTACGGATTAAAGAGGTTTATTAATCCAGACATGTTTGAAGGTTAATCAAGTTCTTTAAGTCCATAAGTTTGGACCTAGGCAAATTACTAGCATTAGATAAAATTTCTAAATGTTAAACTCTCTAAAGAGACTCGGCCTTAATCTGTCATCCAAAGACCTGTGTACGCAATCGTGACAAATCTTGTTAGAGCCAATATTTTAGATACTTGCATCTAAAATTAGCAAAAAAGGACTTCATTTATAATCTATTCCTCATAAAGAACGAAAAAATTGAAACATAAAACCATAACAAAACCGAGATCATATAAAATCCACGCTACAGTTATCATATCACAATAACAACAATTCGCTAATCTAAACATGGTGTTGTTGATGTCATTATTGTAAACAGGTGGAAGGAGCTGCTAACGAAGATGGAAGAAGTCGTAGCATATGGGATACCTTTGCGCACGATGGTTACTTTTCCCATATCTTCTTTCTTCTGCTCATAATTTTTGGAAACTAGCTCAGACAAATACATAATTAACGTCTAACAAGTTATTTATTACCTAAATTATTAATTAATTTTGTTAAAATATTTTTTTACCAAAAAGAAAATATACATAAATTAGGATGACGTTTTAATCCGTTAACTAGTTTTGATTCAATCAACTTAATTAGTTAATTAGTTTTGATTGGTCCTTAATTCGTAATCTTATGAGGACAAAATAAGATGGACTAACATGATACTTTAAAAATATATTTATAAATTAGTGTAAATTAATTAGTGTTAATTAATAAATAATAAATTTTAAATAATGAATTATTCATTCATATTTAATATGATAAATATTTAAAAAATAAGTAAAATTCCTAAAATAATTTTTAAAATGAAAACCTAATTTAGTTAGAATTCACTTTCTCGAGAATCTTAAACTAATTTTTCATTGATAACTTCGATTAAATTCGATTCTACTCCTACTATAACTAAATTCTGAATTTGCATAATAAATAAGTATATTATAATAAATAATTTTTAGGTTTAAATATTTTGAGATTTAGATTATATGAGAAAAAAAGTTTGATCTTCGTTATCTTTTAATGCATGCTACCTAGAAGAATAATATGCAATGCCTATATTTCAGGTTAGGCTTCCTCCAAAAGACATAAAAAAATGACTGATAATATTCTCTACCTTTTTATTCTATGCAAACTTCCATACATATAGAAGGAGGTATGTAACGGTCCAAGAGGACACGGATGGAATAGACAGAACAATTCACAAAAAGTGCTAACATCTTGAGGAATTATTACTATGCCCCTTTTCCCCCAATTAAGGATCATACAATTACTTAATTCTACCCTTAACAGTACAATCATAGTCATCAAGATATTTGGGTCTGATTATGTGACAATTGGTTTTATTCTTCACCATTGGACTACTCATGGGTTGTTCTATCTCCTCCTCACGGTCCATAACATCCCCTTCTCCTTCAACAAACCCCTTGTCCTTAAGGTGCAATGTTGGATAATCTTCCAGCAACATGTCAAGTTCCTCCCAAGTTGTATCTTCGAGGTACATTCCTTTCCACTGGACCAACGCTTAGAATCAGCAGATGTACGCCAATCAAGCACTATTAGGGGCTGCAACTTTGGCTGATTATTGAAGGTTGATGGCGGTAATTCCAAGTTTGGCGTCTTTTCTTCATTATGGAATGGCTTTAACTTAGAAACATGAAAAACAAGATGAATTTGTGTTCCTAGAGGTAATTCTAATTGGAAAGCCACTTCCCTAATCTTTTTGACAATGCGGAAAGGCCCATAAAAACGTTGAGCTAACTTAGAAATTTTTGTGTTCCTTGCTGTCACTTGTTTGTATGGTCGCAGCTTAACTAAGACATGATCACCGACTTTGAAGGGGTGAGGCAAACGCTTCTTATCAGCATAATGTTTCATGGTAGATTGTGCCTTGAGTAACTTGGAGCGAAGCTTATCAAGTAGCTCTTGTCTTTTTGAAAGATCTGAATTCACATCCTCGTTACAACTTGATCCTGTAACATATTGGGACAATGAAGGAGGTGGCTCACTGTAAACAATCTCATAAGGAGTAACCCCAGTAGAAGAGTGATTTGCTGAATTGTAGTGCCACTCAGCCCAATGCAAATATTTTCCCCACAATTTTGGTTCAGCATGGACAAAAGCTCTCAAATATTGCTCCAACATCTTGTTAATTGCTTCTGTTTGGCCGTCACTCTGGGGGTGATAAGCAGAAGACATTCTCAGATTTGTGTCATTCATTCGGAAAAGCTCTTGCCAAAAATTACTCATAAAGGCAGGGTCCCTATCAGAAATTATACTGTTAGGCATGTCATGTAACTTACAAACTGTAAAAGAAAATAATTGAACAACTTTAGTAGCTGAGAAATTGGTCAGAAGCATGCCAAAATGAGCTGCCTTTGAAAACCTGTCAACAACTACTAAAATAACAGAATAATTTTGGAAAGAAGGGAGTCCTGTAATAAAATCAAGTGATATATCTTCCCAAACTGCAGAAGGGGGAGAAATTGGTTGTAGTAACCCATATGGTAGTTGTATAGGGGACTTGGTTTGTTGACACACAACACAGGTTTTAACAAATTTTTCCACATCTTTTTTCATTCCTTTCCAAATGAAGTTGTCACTCAATCGGCCATAAGTTCTATGTATTCCAGCATGGCCAGCCATTGGTGTGGCATGGAATTCTTCTAAGAGGACTTGCTTAAGAGGAGATTGGTCAGAGATATAGATCTTATCATGATAAAGAAGAATTCCTTTAACAATTTTAAATCCAGGATGCTCTTTTGGACAGCGAAGCACACCTTGATACAATTATTTGAGTACTGAATCCGACCCATAAGTCTCTTGAATTTTTGCTACTAAATTACATTGTGGTACTGTCAAACCCATCATTTGTGATGATTTTTCATGCACCCTGCTTAAAGCATCAGCTACTCGGTTAGCTGCTCCTGGTTTAAACACAATTTCATAAGTGTACCCGAGTAACTTTGACAAGTAATATTGTTATTCCGGTGTTTCTACCACTTGCGTCATCAACTCACGGAGGCTTCGTTGATCTGTATGAATAATAAATTTTCTACCCAAGAGGTAAGTGCGCCATTTCTTAACTGCAGCAATGATGGCATGTAACTCCCTAACATAAGTAGAAGCTGACAGGACTTTTGGGCAGAACTTCTTGCTGAAATAACAAATTGGGTGGTTATTCTGCATCAAAACTGCCCCCATTCCTTGCCCAGAAAAATCTGTTTCTGTAACAAAGTCTTCTTGAAAATTGGGTAATGCCAATACAGGGGTCTGAGTCATAGCCTTCTTCAATTGTTCAAACGATTGTTGTGTTGCTCCAGACCACACAAACGAGTCTTTCTTTAGCAAATTAGTGAGAGGAGCAACAATAGAAGCATAATGTTGAACAAATTTTTGGTAAAATCCAGTCAGCCCCAAGAATCCCCGCAATTGTTTAAGAGTGGTAGGTGTTGGCCAATCAATCATAGCCCGAATTTTCTCTAGATCAGGACTAACCCCACTCCTGGATATTATGTGGCCCAAGTATTATATTGATTCCTGCACAAACAAGCACTTGTTCCTTTTAAGGAAAAATTGATTAGTCACAAGACATTGGAAAATAGTATCCATATGAAGGATGTGATCTTTTAATGACTTGATATACACTAGTATGTCATCAAAGAAGACTATAACAAAATCACGTAGATACGGTTGAAATAACATGTTCATAGTTGTCTGAAATGAAGCGGGGGCGTTACACAAGCCAAAGGGCATTACCAGAAATTCATAATGCCCCTCATGGGTGCGAAAAGCAGTTTTTAAAATATCACCAGTGTTCATTCTGATTTGGTGGTAGCCAGATCGAAGATCGAGCTTTGAAAACCATTGTGTCCCATGAAGTTCGTCCAGCAGTTCTTCAATCGATGGAATGGGAAATCGATCTTTGACTGTAATCGTGTTTAGTGCTCTATAGTCTACACAAAACCTCCATGACCCGTCTTTCTTTCGAACTAGCAACACAAGGGATGAGAAGGCACTATTGCTTCGTTGGATAATTCCCTCTAACATCATACTCTTGATTTGATGCTCAATCTCGTGTTTTTGAAAATATGGGTATCTGTAAGGCCTGACATTCACAGGATTTGACCCTTCCAAAAGAGGAATACGATGATCAGTTGCTCGAGTTGGAGGAAGCCCACGTGGTTCCTCAAACAATTGAGGATATTTCTTTAACAAGTTCTTAATCTCGGGTAGCGGGGAGGGTTTTTGAAGCTCTATTGATGGAGGAAGCAACTGCAGTTGAAAAAATTCTACTATACCATCAGTAGAAATCATCCTTTTGATCTGATGTATGGTGGCCTCTTGAGGTGTTATGCGAGGTTGGCCTTTAAGTTCAATCAATTTCCCTTCTCTAATGAACTTCATTGTCAATTTTTCATAATCAGTTAACACCGGTCCTAACGTCGTTAGCCACTGTACACCCAACACCAGCTCTGCACCACTCAATGGTAACACAAATAGGTCAACAAAAAATGTTTGTGAGCCCAATTTTAATGGCACCTGATTACACACTAATGAACAAGAAAACTTCTCTCCATTGCCTACCAAAACCTAAAACCCTTGAACTGGAGTAACTTGAAGGCCCAAAAATTTGGCTATACGGGCTTGTATAAAATTGTGGGTGCTCCCACTATCTACTAAGATTGCAACAGGGGTCGTATTTACATGACCTAAAACTCTAAGAGTTTGAGGAATAGAGTGGCCCAATAAGGCGTGTAAATTGATTTGGGCTGAGGCTATATCAGGAGCTTCGGGCGGGTCATTAGGTGTCAGGTCGTTTATTTAGAGCAACTGGGTCAAGTCAATCTCATCAATGTTTGAGTCGGTCGATTCGGATATCAATAACATGAACTCACGTTTGCACTTGTGACCAGGGCGATATCGCTCATCGCAATAGTAACATAGGTTTTTATTGCAACGACTTTGGAGTTCAGCAGGGGATAAGCGTTTAATGACGAGAGGGTTAGGGTTTGGTTTGGGTTTGAGGGAAGAAGAGTTTGCCTCATTGGAATTTGAATTTGTTTGTTGAGAGTTGATGAGTGTCGTGGAATTCGTGGTGGGAAGAAAAATGCGGTTAGAACGAATTGTCGTTGAAGCTTGTGCGAACTTTTCCTCTTGCAATTTTGCTAAACTTATGGCTTGCGACAATGAAATTGGCTAGAATGCTTGCACCTCTCTTCTAATTTCAGGTTTGAGGCCTGAAACAAAGCAACTAAGGAAGAATGGAGCATGTAAACCCACAATCCGATTAGCTAGTGATTCAAACTCGTTCTGATATGCACGAACAGTCGAGGTTTGACAGACCTTGAACAACGCTCCTCTTGGGTCCTCATAATACGATGGTGCAAAATGAACCTCTAGGGCGTGGAGGAAATTCTGCCAAGTCGAGATTAAGTGGTTGTCATGCATCCATTGGAACCACGTAAGGGCTTCTCCTTCCATGGAGAAGGCAACCATTTGTAGTCTTTGATCTTCTGGAGTCTGATGGTAATAAAAAAATTGCTTGATTTTGAAAATCCAAGCTAATGGTTCAGACCCATTAAATCGGGGCATGTCTAACTTCATAGATGTGCGAGTAAATGTTTGAAGGGTAGAGTTGTTTGCTGCATTTCCTCCGGTTCCATTATGACGCATCACCTGTGCTTCCAAATTAGTCATACGAGTCGTCATCTCTTCTTGAAAAACTCTCTAGTTTTTTAATAGCTGAAGAATGGAGTCCATTTTATCATCGTTTTGTGATGAAGACATTTTTTCTCAATGAAAGCACCAAATTGCAATGCCTATATTCCAGGTTAGGCTTCCTCCAAAAGATATAAAAAAAATGACTGATAATCTTCTCTGCCCTTTTATTCTCTGCAAACTTGCATACATATAGAAGAAGGTATGTAACGTCCAAGAGGACACGTATGGAATAGACAGAGCAATTCACAAAAAGTATTAACAACTTGAGGAATTACTACTATGTCCCTTTTTCCCCTAATTAAGGATCATACAATTACTTAATTCAACCCTTAAGAGTATAATCATAATCATCAAGATATTTAGATATTTGGGTCTAATTATGTGACGTTTGGTTTTATTCTTCACCCATTAGACTGCTCATGGGCTATTCTATCTCCTCGTCAAGGTCCATAACATAATTGCACGAGTGTAAAAATTTTGGACCGCATCTTTCACGAACATGAAGCATTAAATAAGAATTTGTTCTGTTATATCTTTCCTTGGGCTTACAGTTTGAAATATTTTATTATTTAAAGTTGCATATAAAAAATTCAGTGAAATATGAAATATTGAGTGATAATTCTCTTCCTCTCGTCCTCCTTTCCCGTGCGCGCATGTGATTTTATTTTGATCACTTTAAATAGTGGATTACACCCTCTTAAGAAAAAGAATCGATTATATCAAACACAAATTTTCTGAAATGTAAATCATTAATAAAAAACCTGGAAACATAAAAATATAATAATCCAGTTTTGCATTTTTAAATATTTACCGATAATTATTCAGTCAGCAAAATCTCTTTCTCATGCAGTAATTTTTAACAAACAGGATATGCGCATGGAGAAAATGGAGATGTAGCCTGTGATGAGTACCACAAATATAAGGTCATTACTTAGCCTCAATAATTTTTTATATGCCCGTTAATGCATTCCTTGATCTCTCATTTGTGGAAGATTAGAGAAGTTTGAGGCATAAGCCGGTCAAACAAAAGAAATTTAGACACTGTTTTATAACCGTTTGATTTTAATGGTTTTTTCTAAAATATATGTAATGCAGGAAGATGTGAGACTAATGGTGGAAACAGGACTTGAAGGTTATAGATTTTCCATTTCTTGGTCGAGACTGATACCAAGTATGAAAATCAACACAAGTCCTTAAATTTTATATATGTATAGTTCTTTGTCGGGTAAAGCAATTCTCACTTCCAAAACTGCTTTTGTTTTTCCTCAGATGGTAGGGGACCCGTCAATCCCAAAGGATTACAATACTACAACAATCTCATCAATGAGCTTACGAGAAATGGTAAACCTAAATTCAAGTTTCTTAATTAGCTTGCAAAATTAACCGTGCCTTTTATTCACTTCAAATTAGGCATGTTTTAACTGTTTTCTTTCCGTTAATGTGAAGGTTAGAAATTAAATTTTTATTTTTTTTATTGAATTTCGAGTTTATTTTATCTTTATCCCTAATTTATATTATTTAAAAAAAATTATTATATTTATAATAAATTAATTTAATATTATTTATTTATTTTTTATATAGAAATAAATATTTATAATTTTATAGTTTTTAATTATTATTAATTAAATATATATTTTAATTTATTATAGTTATATTAATATATATTTATAAAAGAAACATTTAATTATTTTTTTATAACATTCTAATAATAATATATTCAAACATTTAATTATATATATAAATTAATTATTTTTTAAGTTATCAGAAATATATAATTTATAGGAAAATATTTAATAAGTTAATTTTTATTTGATTAATTCAAGGTAACAAAAGTTTTAATTATTTATTTTTTTAATATTTTAAAATAAAATTATTTTATAAATATAAAATTTCATATATGATAAATAAAAATAATAAGATCCAAAAAATATCATATAATAAAATTAATAAAGATAAATTATAAATAAAATAATATTAATTATTATTAATGTTTATAAAAAATATTTTGAAAAAGATAAAGAAAAAAAGTAATTTTATGTTTATCAAATTGATTAAAAAGATTAAAAATTTAAAAAAGACGTGAATAAGTGAAATATAAAAAAAAGAAAATAATATAATAAATTAATTGATATAAAAGATAAAAAAAATGAAATAATTTTATATATAATTAAAAAAAATATTTTTAAAATATTAATTTTTTAAAATTTAAATTTAAATATAAAATCAAACAAAAATTATATTACTCGTCTCGTCTACCATCAAGTTGATTTTTCTCCGGGACATTACGGATCGGTCTTGCGGACACCACGTCATTAATTCTCATTCCTACTCCAAATAAATAAAGAAAATTGAAACCTATTCTACTTCTTCAATTGATATAGTTTCCCTATTTCCCTGTAACAGGAATCCAACCACATGTCACGCTACACAACTTTGATCTTCCACAGGTTCTTGAAGATGAATATGGAGGATGGGTTAGTCGTGATATCATGTATGCTCTTGAACTCTGGCACCATAATGCTATTGAAATTAGTTCATGAAACCTGAGGAATCATATATGGAAATTCCAGCTATTTAACAATGGCTGTGTGTGTTCGCTTTTGTCTAGCATACAATATAAGTTCCTTATATTAAATCATGAAAAGAATCGAGAAATATTGATGGATAAATTACTTGGATGTAAATGCAGAAGAGACTTCACATACTATGCAGATGTATGTTTTAGAGAGTTTGGTGACAGGGTCTTGTATTGGACCACTGTCAATGAACCCAACGTTTTTGCCTTAGGTGGTTATGATCATGGAAGCAGCCCACCGCAACGATGTTCTCCCCCATTTTGTGTTATAAAGAGCACCAGAGGCAACTCAACATATGAATCCTACTTGGCAGTTCATCATATTTTGTTAGCTCATTCTGCAGCTGCCAGATTATATCGGAGAAAATACAAGGTACATCACCTAATCTTACATATCTATGTTTAAACGCAAAAACTTCAAGAAACATACTTCCATTTCAATTAAACTTAGAAAAATTAGTCTACGCACTATTAGTCTGAAGAGTTTTTAAATTATTATCTCTTCACCAATTATTATTATCTAAATGCTATTACTACCATGATTTTGGACTAAGACCATGTAAATGTTGTTTACTCATAATGCATGAAAATTAAACTCTTATACTTAACATCTTGTCCGATTCTCAATCTTTGTAAATTGACTTTTATTCTTCTCTCATGCCAAACTTTGTTGATTAAGTATGTTCGCCTTTCTAAGAAATTAAAGTGACATTGCAGAACAAACAACAAGGATTTGTTGGTATCTCTGTTTACTCGTTTGGGGTTTTTCCTCAAACAAATACAGAAAAAGACAGGGTAGCAACTCAACGAGTACGTGATTTTTTGGTTGGTTGGTAAGTTACAGACCCTAAAATTGGTTTGTTTTGCTTCTTTCTTTCCCTTATTCTTAATTCGTTCTCTTAAGATAGGTGAAAATAATTATGATTGAAGTTTAATTCGTTATGCTTGTGATGTTATTCTATCTTCAGTTCCTTAAAGATCGCTTTTTTAATTGAACATACTATATTGAATAATAATAAACATGGCAGTTTTACAAGTCTGCTTTGATATTTCAGGATTATGGAGCCCTTGCAATACGGAGACTATCCCATTTCCATGAAGATAAATGCAGGTGAAAGAATTCCATCCTTCACAAATCGGGAATCTGAACAAGTTAAGGGTTCAATTGACTTTATTGGGGTTATTCACTATACCAATCTCAATATCACGGACGATTCTGACGCCCTTAAGAACCCATTGAGAGATTTTGACGCAGACATGGCTGCAAAGATGTGTAAGTACTTCTTCAAGCTTAAGGATAGTGAATTTAGCAAGAGATTAAAGCTGGTCATATATGGTTACCGAGGAAATTGAATTTAGGACATCTTTTCGATATCATTGTGTAGTTTTCAACATGGTGAACTTTCACATCATTTACTATTACTATAGTAACTAGTAAAAAAAATCGTGAAGAACATCAATCTCTTTATTCCTAATAATTATTTTATTAATAAAAAAATAAGAAAAAAATAATCACTACAAGAATATAACTTAGAAACTTCATAATCGGAGAAAAAATCATGACCATTTAATATGTAAAAATTTTTATAACATATAGACTACTATCCTAGGTTCTTTAACTCTAAATACACTTACACTCTCAAAAACAAAAATTTAAATTAAAACTCTCAACAGTCAAGAGTATAAGAAAAAAGTCAAATAGAAGCGTAAACTATTTTTTTACTAAGGTATGAGAACATCATGGACTTTGAGTTCATTATATTGTTACTATTACTCACTTCATTACTTATTCAATATGATGTGAGACTTTTTAAGATGTATTATTTTTATCAACCCAATAATCTCCACCATGATTAAAATAAATATATCTTCTTTTTTTATCTCCATTACTTACACCATCAATCATTCATACTGCACCATAAGAAGTATATTCACTTGAAATTAAACCATTCTCAGAATTTTTTAACTGCAAACTTGCATCAATGCTAACCAATGTTTGTGTATAATTACCACACACCTTACATCAATATTAACGAATGTTTATGCACAATTACCACTAGTAAAGACTCATCATTTCTCATGACAACGTGATTAAGTCATGATGATACTCATCTTTTACAAAAGATCACCCTCTTCCAACATAAGAGAGACAATCTTAGTATCTAAATCTGCCTCACAGTTTCGTGATATTTCTCCACTTGAACAAATTTTCTTTACATGTTCAGACTTTCCACATTTCCAATGTACCACATTCTTTCTATGGTTTTTGTTTCCATGTGTCCCACTTCTAACAATCATCATCATTGAGTTTGTTGGCATGCTTTCATTACTAGTCATTCTCTTTTCTTCAGAAAGAATCTTACTAGCAACTTAGTCAAAGCTCAAAGTTTCCTTACCATATATCAAGACAGACTTGATAAGCTCATATGAAGACAGAAGAGACCAAATTAGTCTTAATGTTATATTTTCTTCTTCAATCTTGACTCCAATAACCTCTAATTCGGAGATAATCTCATTAATATTACTAAGATGATCAAAGACTTTCGTATCATCACCCATGCGTAAGTTATGAAACTTCTCTTTCAACAACAATTAATTTGAGATGTCTTTGTTTGATGTAAGTCTTCGAGTTTCTCTCAAAGTTCCTTTATCATCGACATCTTTTGCATGTTTGCAAGAACATTCTTAGCCAAACACAAGCGAATTGTATATGTAGCTCTCAAATATAATTCCGCCCACTTCTCTTTATCCATATTAGAAGTTATTCCTTTCAACGTCTTACACTACAAGAAAAAACCATTTTAGTGACCGAAACAATCGGTCGCTGATGTCAAAAAATCGGTCGCAAATCAGTTAGGGACCGAAAGGCGTCGTCGCAAAAAGCCAAATCGCTAATGTGTTAGCGACCGATTTTATTTCGGTCGCAAAATAGTGACCGAAATTAATATATCAAATTGGTCGCTAAATCGGTGACAAAGTTAAAAAAATAGCGACCGATTTATATCGGTCGCTAAATCAATGACAAAGTTAAAAAAATAGCGACCGATTTAAATCGATCGCTAAATCAATAACAAAGTTAAAAAAAATAGCAACCGATTTAAGTTGGTCGCTAAATCAATAATAAAGTTTAAAAAATAGCGATCGATTTAAATCGGTCGTTAAATCAATAATAAAGTTTAAAAAATAGTGACCGATTTAAATCGGTCGCTAAATCAATAACAAAGTTAATTATTTTTATTTATTTACATTTTTAATTATATTTATTATTTATTTCCCCTACCTCTTAATTATATTATATTTTTTAAAAGTTTAACTTATTACTATATTTATTGTCATTGTCAAGATTCGAATGCTGTACCTTAGAGTTTGAGGCTAAAACTCGAACTACTCGAGCTACTAGGATCTTTTAATAATAATTTACAAATAAATTATATTTATATACAAATAAATGTATATCCGTATAAATATATAAATATAAAATCTATAAATAAAAATATATTTATATATTTTAATATATATCTAAATATTGATATATTTATACATTGATATATTTATATATTTATATATTTATATCTTTATATTTTTACATATATTTATATTTTTATATATTTATATCTTTATATTTTTACATATATTTATATATTTCCATATTTATATATTTATATATAAAGATATAAAGATATTAGTTTTGTATACAAATAATATTATAATATAGTATATTATACTATTAGTATAGTATACAAATTATATATTAATATAGTATATTATACAAATTAATAATTTGGTAATTTATATACAATGAAAATAATATAATGGTATATTAGTATAGTATAGTATATTTGTATTCTAATTTTTAATTAAATTAAAATTATACTAATAATGTATAATAATATATGAGGGAATAATATTGATATATTGATATATATATATATATATATATATTTATATATTGATATATTTATATTTTGATATATTTATATATTTATTTACATCCTTATACATTTATATCTTTATATATTTATATATTTGAAAAAAAAATTAAATATTAAATTTTAAAAATAATATTATATTTTAAAAATAATATTATATTTTTAAAAATAAATATTAGAAAAAGATTTAAAAATATATATAAATTATATTTACATGTACAAAATATTAAAGATATATATTTATATCTTTACATATTTATATATTTATATCTTTATATTTTATATCTTTATATCTTTACATATATTTATATCTTTGTATCTTTACATATATTTATATATTTATATATTTATATCTTTATATATATATATATATATATATATATATATATATATATATATATATATATTTATATCTTTATATATTTATAAAATCTATAAATACAAATATATTTATATATTTTAATATATATTTAAATATTATATATTGATATTTTTATATATTTATATATTTACATATTTATATATTTATATATTTACATATTTATATATTTATATATTTATATATTTACATATTTATATATTTATATATTTATATATATACATATTTATATATTTTTATTTTTATATATTAATATATTTATATATTTATTTATATCTTTATATACTTATATCTTTATATCTTTATATATTTATATATTTAAATATTAAATTTTAAAATAATATTTTATTTTTAAAAAATAATATTAGAAAAAGGTTTAAAAATATATATAAATTATATTTACATGTACAAAATATTAAAGATATATATTTATATCTTTACATATTTATATATTTATATATTTATATATTTATATCTTTATATTTTTACATATATTTATATCTTTATATATTTATATCTTTATATTTTTACATATATTTATATCTTTCCATATTTATATATTTATATATAAAGATATAAATATATTAGTTTTGTTTACAAATAATATTATAATATAATATATTATACTATTAGTATAGTATACAAATAATATATTAGTATAGTATACAAATATTAGAAAAAGATTTCAAAATATATATAAATTATATTTACATGTAAAAAATATTAAAGATATATATTTATATCTTTACATATTTATATATTTATATTAAATATATCCACATTTAAAACAATATTAAAAAATATTAAAAGTTATACTTTAAATTAATGAAAATATTTTAAAAAAGTTATATTTATTAAAGTATTAAAAAATATTTTGTAATATATAAGTTAAAAAAATTATCATTAAAATTTTTTAAAATTATTAGGTTTGTAATTTATATACAATGAAAATAATATAATGGTATATTAGTATAGTATAGTATATTTGTATTCTAATTTTTAATTAAATTAAAATTACGCTAATAATGTATAATAATATATGAGGGATAATAAATTTAATCCAATTATATATATATATATATATATATATATATATATATATATATCCTCTTTTAACTTTTTTTTTCTTTTTAAACTTCTTACATTCTACATTGTTTTTAAACTCTATCATTTTTACTATATTATCATCCTCATTTCCTCCCATATTTTATTTTATCTTTATAATAATTAGTCTTATTTTATAGAATACTTTATTTTCTATTTTTATTATTTATATTCTTATAATTTAAAATAATTAATATTATTTTAACATTTATTTTTATGATTTTTACTATAATAAATCAAATTAAATGATTCGATAATATCAATTAATTAAAATCATCACATAAAAAATTTAGATAACTACATTAAAATTATTAATTTTAAAAATAAAAAATATATTTAAAAAAAAAACTCAAATTATAGATTGGAAATAAAATAGAATAAACAAATACTATTTACTTTATATTATATTTAAGTGTGTGCACAAATGTTGACCTTCTTAACTATAAAAAATAGTAGAAAAATATAAAAATAGTATTTGAAGAAGTGAATTTTGAAGATAAAAACTATTTTTATATAAATTTATTCTAGTATATCAATTAACAATAATAATACATAAAATTTAAAAACTAAACTAAAAAAAGTAAGTTTAAATTTATAAAAAAATACATTATTAAAAGTATCATATTATATTAATTAAGGTTTTTATTATTTTCGTTAATTATAAATTTAAATGTGTTTCATAAATAAAATTATAAATTTAAATGTATTTCCACTTTTGATCCATCATAAATAAAAATAAATAATCTCTTATAAATGTTGTTCTATTTTAATCCATCATTAAATTTGTTTTATATACGAATTTGATGACTTATCATATTATTAAAAATTTGGATGAAATAATTATGTATAATACTTTTTTAGTATATTATGTTTTTAAATTTGTTAATAGAGAAAAAGTTTCAGAATTCAAAATATTAAATACTTTTAAATATTAAAATTGA